TTAAAATTTTTGTCTTATATAAAAGTTTTTAATTTTATTAATAAATATTTTTTATTTTTATATTAAAATAAAGATTATAAATTATAGTTTAACATATATTTTTTCTGGATTTTCTAGATATTTTTCTGACAAAGTTGTTCTAATGACAAAGTTATTGCAAAAATTTTCTATAAAATATAAAATTAATTATAAAAAATTTTTGCAATAACTTTGTAATTAAAACAACTTTATTAGAAAATCCAGAAAAAATATATATTAAACTATAACTTATAATCTTTATTTTGATATAAAAGTAAAAAATATTTATTAATAAAAATTATATATGTGATTTTATAATTTTGTTAATTATTATAATAAAGTTATATATATAATATTATAATTTTGTTGATTACTATACAAAAAACAAAAAAATTTATTTTTATAAATAAAATATAAAAATTTTTGCAATAACTTTATTAAATTAAATTTAAAAAATTCAGAAAAATATATATTAAATTTTTTTAATTATTATTATCTTTTATAAAAAGATTTTATTATAAATATGATTATATTTATTTATAGTTGCTTACAAAAATAATGTAACTTTTAAAATTTGTATTTTTATATAAAAATAAAAAATTTGATTAGTAAAATTGAACTTTTATATAAAGAAAAATTCATATTTTATTATATTTTATTAATAAATTTAAAAGTAATATATTACTTTTATAACTTTTGTAAGCTATTGTAGTTACACTTTTTTATAAATATCCAATTTGACTTTATCTTTTTATAGTTATTCAGTTTCGCTTTTAATTATAAAAAAATAGCTGGATCTTGAAAAAATTTGTTATAGTGAGATTTTTTATATAAAATTATTTTTTAGAACAAGAAAATAGCAACCCTTAAAAATTTCCGAAATTAGCGAATTTAATGGCTAGAATTTGTAATCAAAACTATACCCTCATGCAGTAACGGTAAAGAATTCGTCGCCGTCAACAAATTCAAATCAACCACGATAGCACGAATATAGTTTCTATACCGTTTTCTTTTACTGTTGCTCCTTCCAGTTCCTCGAGCAATAAGAATACACTTATGCGTTCCAGTGCTTCTAACGGTGGTAGCGGAGTTTCTCATGATCGGATTGACTCGGCTATCGCACTTGTCGATAAAGTTGAAAAAAATAACAATAGAAGAAAGGGAAGAGGTGCTTCGATTAGAATACTAGCAGAAGTTTGTTCCCCGGATAATTCTCATGTACTGACAACAGAATCATTACCAATTGAGTCATCAAAAGGAAAAGAAAAGGAAAATATCGTTGAAGAAGTAGAAGAAAACAATGTTTGTCATTTTGATAAATTGCCTTTGGAAGTGAAAGTAAAGATTTTCAAGTGTTTGAATGTGATCGAGGTTATAAAGGCCTCTATGGTGGGTATGATTATAAAATTGATATTTTTGGAAAGAGATTTTGATTGAACATCTCGCAGAAAGAAAGATTAAATGGACTTCTCTTGTACGCGTTATATGTTGATTGTGGTTACCTGATACAACTGTTTTATTTGATGTCGGTACTTTGGTGATGCTGAAAGTCCAAATTCGCGTTCAGATAGCACAAAAAATGATATATTTTTTTTTCGAAAGAGAATTCAAATCCAAATTCGTTAAATTATTTCTTTAGGTTTGTCGGTCTTGGTATAGTTTAGCATTTGATGGATCTTTATGGTCAAAACTTAATGTAGCGCCATTCTATCAGAAAATTTCGGCCTATCAACTCGTTGCACTATGGAAATCTGCTGGTGGATTTTTAAGAGAGGTCAACTTTCGGTCTGTTGTTTTATTTTAATATCTAAATGAATCTGTAATTTTCAGGCTAATTATTCATTTCAAGTAAATTGTACTTTTTTACATAGAGGATGTGTACAATTGAGTTCTTTAAACATTCGTGAATTAACGCCGTATTGTCCCAATATTCAGAAACTTGATATATCCGGATGTCGTAATATCGATTTCGCCGCTATAGATTTTCTGTTATCACATCTTCATGACCTTGAAGAATTAAATATTTCATGCTTGGATCTGAAAAGTTCACAAAATTATTACACTCGGACGCTTGCCAAACAATGTAAAAAACTAAAAAAGGTTAATATGAGTTGGTGTCGTTGCATGACCGCAAGGGATGTAGAGACTCTGGTGAAGGGATGTAAGAAATTGACGAGCTTGAAGTTGGATGGACTTGCAAAACTCAACGAATCTACATTTGTATTGATTGGTGAATTACGACATTTGCAAGTTCTCTCACTTGATTCGTGTCCAACTGTCGATGATAATCTTATCGCGGCTCTTTTTCAATCAGGCAGTAGTAATGATAATAGTTCCACAATAGCAGCAACAATGACAACCACCACATATTCATTATCACCACCTCCAATTACTCATCTCAATCTTTCCAATAATCCTCACTTGACCGATATTGCATTACAAGATATTGCAGATTTTTGCCCAACACTGACGCATCTACAACTTCATGGATGTCCGGGTTTCACTGATTCTGGTCTAATCAATCTCGCTTCAAAATGTACAGAACTTCAGGCAATTGATTTAGAGGATTGTAATACGGCTGTTAATGACGATGTGTTGGAAGCATTTGCAGCACATCTCGTAAAATTGCGAAGAATTTGTCTAAGTTATTGTGATCAAATTACGGACGAAGGTGTTACAAATCTATTACGTGAGTGTACTCACATAAGTCGAATTGATTTAGACCAATGTCAATCACTCACTGACACAGTACTAAAGAATCTCACCACAATATTGACTACTACTGCTTCTATGGATCTCAGAGAAGATATAATAAACAATACAAATAGTGATAATGAAAACATCAACAATAATGGAATTATTAGTAATAGTAGTAATCAAAATCAACATATCGATGAATTGGTTTCTTCTAACAATAATATTCGACCAAGGCTAATAGAAGTTGAAATATTTGATTGTCGTAATATTTCAATTTCTGCCGTTCGCGAAACTGTACAAAAAGTATCGGCAGCCGGTGTATTATTGAAGTTAAAAGGATATTACGCATGGCAATCCAGTGGCAATACACGTAATCGTGAACAGGAAGGCAATAACACGGAAGCAGAAGACGATGAAAATAGTGGGCGACATAATGAAGAAGCTGCAACAAATAATATTCATCATTCATTTTGGGCTCGAAGTAGGATATTTAGGCATCTACGGAATGTCGATATAATACCAGATATGACAATGAGATTCCAATTCCAGGCAGTTTTTAGAGGCGCCGGATTCCGAGGCGGAAATTTAGGTGGTCGAAGAATGATGGGCCAATGTGTTATATTGTAAAGATTGAAAGAAAAAACATTCGGATAAAGATGTCAAAATATTAGCAGCTCGGCCATCGGCTTGTTAAATTTAAGATCCTACTGCTCATTTATCTATTTCTTAATTGGCCAATCATTTTCTTGCACCACATTGACAGGTAATTTCGAGAGTTCAATATTTTTTATTTAATGTTTGTTTCGATGTTTGATTTCTTCCACTTAGTACACATATTATTTCGCTATTTTT